CTATGATTCAGTTGAAGAAGCAAAAACGGCATAAAAACGAAGGCTCCTCTTTGAGTTGCCCTCTTCGGTGTCTATTGTGATCTAGGCTTACTGAGTCATTACAGTACAGAAATTAGTCCCAAACAAACCTATTTTATTGTAACAGCTGAGAATTAACTTTCATTCCCAGCTGAGTCCCAAGTAATTTCAAAACAAATCCTTCGGAAGAAATCCTTCGGGATAATCACCAAGCTTTATCTTCTTTGACACCCTGCCAAAGGCCTTACTTGGCAAAGCCCCACGGAGTTCAGAAACTAACAAGAGATGCCGACTGGAAACAGAGTTAGCAACGTTGCTTTCCTGCAAAAGGCCCAAGTGTCTTTGTTTCTCTTTTAAGCCTTATGGGAGAGGCCAATCATCTCCTGGCCTTACTCCCGAGTCGTCCCTTTTGCTTTAGCTGCTCTTGCCTTCTGGCAGCTCTGTGCATGCGTGCACTAGGAACAGGCTCCTCCTGTTCCTCTGCCTCTCTGCTGTCCGACTGGGGGCTCCGGAGTCTGCGCATTACTCCCAGATGGCCCTGGCCCCATCTCTGCTTGTGACGCAGAGCCCTCGTCCGGGCCTTCCCCAGACTCCAGGACTGGTCCATGTTCCTCCCCAGCCTCCTCACTGTCCGACTCCACTTCCAGCTCCACAGGCTGCTGGCGGACCACAACAGTGTCATCTTCCCCCCCGCCCTGCCAGGTCTCTTGGGTCCGACTGCTTTCTGTGCATGCTTTCTCACGGAAGAGTTCAGCTACAATGACAACCGAGGTCATGCTGGGATTGCCCAAGACAAGGAAGGGACAGCCAGCCTCCCAATTGACCTTCCTCTCACTGCCTATTAATCGTCATCATCTTCTTTTAACCACCCCATAATCCCTTGTAGGGTGGAGTCTGGGCAACTGAATGGAGCTAGCAGAGTGCTTTAATGGCCGGATGCAGTGGTGGGATTCAAGTAATTTTAACAACCGGTTCTCTGCCCTAATGATTTCTTCCAACAACCACTTTGCCAAACTGCTCAGAAAGTTAAACAACCGGTTCTCCCGAAGTGGTGCGAACCGGCTGGATCCCACCATTGGCCGGATGCCCTTCCTGTCGCCGATGCGGAGTTTTGTTCAGCAGATATATATATTCCCATTGTGCCCAGAGAAAGAAATATCAGCCTCTACCTAGGATCGAACTCGCAGCCTCCTGATTGTGAGGCGACAGCTCCCCTTCTAGGCCACCGCACCACCTTTGACTGACTATTAATGTTCTTGAGAAAGCGCTCCCTGGAAGGGCTCGCCATGAATCTAGCAGGAAAGGGTACGGTCTAGTGGTGGAATTCAATTTTTTTTACTACTGGTTCTGTGGGCGGGGCTTGGTGGGCGTGGCAGGGGAAAGATACTGCAAAATCCCCATTCCCACCCCCACTCCAGGGGAAGGATACTGCAAAATCCCCATTCCCTCCCCCACTCCTGGGGGGAAGGATATTGCAAAATCTCCATTCCCTCCCCCACTCCAGGGGAAGGATACTGCAAAATCCCCATTCCCTCCCCCACTCCAGGGGAAGAATACTGCAAAATCCCCATTCCCTCCCCCACTCCAGGGGAAGAATACTGCAAAATCCCCATTTCCTCCCCCACTCCTGGGGGGAAGGATATTGCAAAATCTCCATTCCCTTGGCTTGGTGGGCGTGGCAGGGGAAAGATACTGCAAAATCTCCATTCCCTCCCCCACTCCAGGGGAAGAATACTGCAAAATCCCCATTCCCTCCCCCACTCCTGGGGGAAGGATATTGCAAAATCTCCATTCCCACCCCCACTCCAGGGGAAGAATACTGCAAAATCCCCATTCCCTCCCCCACTCCTGGGGGGAAGGATATTGCAAAATCTCCATTCCCACCCCCACTCCAGGGAAAGGATACTGCAAAATCCCCATTCCCTCCCCACTCCTGGGGGGAAGGATATTGCAAAATCTCCATTCCCTCCCCCACTCCAGGGGAAGGATACTGCAAAATCCCCATTCCCTCCCCCACTCCAGGGGAAGAATACTGCAAAATCCCCATTCCCTCCCCCACTCCAGGGGAAGAATACTGCAAAATCCCCATTCCCTCCCCCACTCCTGGGGGGAAGGATATTGCAAAATCTCCATTCCCTCCCCCACTCCTGGGGGGAAGGATATTGCAAAATCTCCATTCCCTCCCCCACTCCAGGGGAAGGATACTGCAAAATCTCCATTCCCACCCCCACTCCAGGGGAAGAATACTGCAAAATCCCCATTCCCTCCCCCACTCCTGGGGGGAAGGACATTGCAAAATCTCCATTCCCACCCCACTCTGGGGCCAGCCAGAGGTGGTATTTGCCGGTTCTCCAAACTACTCAAAATTTCCACTACCGGTTCTCCAGAACCTGCCGAATAGTATCCCTGGCACGGTCCCACAAGACCCTGGAGCACAGACTGCACATTGGGGTATTGTCAAAACACAGCTTCTGTGCTTAGTTTGTACTCGGTGTGTGGCGTGAACCTTCCCACATTCGACCCCTTGAGCAATTCACCTAATCTGAATGCTTAGCCGCGGGGATGCCCATCCTGCAAACGTAATCAGTGCTCTCCGTGCAAGCACGTTCACAGCTGGCTGGTTTCCTCTCTGCCAGTTCGCCATGGCGGCGCGCCTAATTTTCTACTGGATTCCCAAGTTTCATATGTCAAGCAGTGTTTTGAATTTCAAAAAGTTGGCTGCTTGTTCGGAGCTTCGCGCTTGCAACCCGCTTTTAGAAATGCAAAGGGGCGGAAGCCAAATCACGTTCCGAAATGGATTCCTGAGTTGTTGTTTCCTTTTTACCAAAGGTGCATCTAACATGTTGACGAAGGTTAACCAAAGGAATAACCAGCCTGTCGCTCGTTGGAAGTTAATGCTACGGAATATTAGCCAACAGGCTCACTGCTCTCGGGGGGGGGGGGGGAGAAAAGATGGATTTGGGAGGATGCAGCTTGAGAGAGAGAGTAGTTGAAAAAACTTTTCTTCTTTGTGGGTGGAATTATCACTTTGAGATTTCAAGCAAGACTGTGTCTTGCAAGCAAAGCTGCCCAAGGGACGGGACAGCCCCATAACTGAGGCATTGATTGGCGCATTGATGCTTCCTTTTCGCCCCAAACCTTACTCCAGAAATCCATCGGATTTTGAGCAACGTTGACCTCGATTGCTTTGACATTGATTGATCCTCAACCTTCCATTATTATTCTGGCTTGGAGCTAGTGCCAGCTACATGGTATCTGTACTAACCGGACAGTGCCTAGTAGTTTTATCAGCAGCTTGTTTCCCCATGCAACTCCCAACCTGGCTTTAAGGGGCATTAGAACAAATTGTGAGACGCCGTAATATCTGTCTGCAGCTCTAGCCATATCCGTTGCCTCAGGCGTCCACTCTTCTTAGCATTTGACATTTTCCATGAAGTTTTTTTCCCCCCGTCATTAAAATCAGGAGCTGCCCTCCCCTTAGTGTTTGAAGGAGAGAGAGAGAGAGAAAATGAGAAAGAGAGAGTGAGAGTGAGAATGAGGAAGAATGAGAGAGAGAGAGAGAATGAAAGAGAAAATGAGAAACAAAGAGAATGAGAAAGAGAGAGAAAGAATGAGTGTGTGTGTGAAAGAGAGAGACAATGAGAGAGAGAATGAGAATGAGAGAAAATGAGAAAGAGAAAGAATGAGAGTGTGTGAAAGAGAGAGAAAGAATGAGAATGAGAGAGAGAGAAAAGAGAAAGAGAAAGATAAGAATGAGAGAGTGTGAGAGAAAGAATGAGAGAATGAGAAAGAAAATGAGAAAGAATGAGAAAGAATGAGTGTGTGTGTGAAAGAGACAATGAGAGAGAGAATGAGAATGAGAGAAAATGAGAAAGAATGAGAGTGTGTGAAAGAGAGAGAAAGAGAATGAGAATGAGAGAGAGAGAGAAAATGAGAAACAGAATGAGAATGTGTATGTGTGTGTGTGTGTGAGAGAGTGAGTGTGTATGTGAGAAAGAAAATGAGAAACAACAAGAAAGAAAGAATGAGACTGTGTGTGAAAGAAAGAGAATGAGAAACAGAATGAAAGAGAGAAAATGAGAAACAGAATGAGAAACAGAATGAGAATGTGTGTGTATATGTATGAGAGATTGAGTGTGTGTGTGAGAAAGAGAGAATGAGAAAGAGAGAGAGAATAAAAATGAGAAAGAAAGAGAGAGAATAAGAGAGAGAGAAAATGAGAAACAGAGAATGAGAATGTGTGTGTATATGTGTGAGAGAGTGTGTGTGTGAGAGAGAATGAGAAAGAGAGAGAAAAATGAGAAACAGAATGAGAATGTGTGTGTATATGTGTGAGAGAGAGTGTGTGTGTGTGAAAGAGAAAGAGAATGAGAAAGAGAGAGAGAGAGAATGAGAAAGAAAGAATGAGAGAGAGATGAGAAAGAGAGAAAAATAGAATGAGAATGTGTGTGTATATGTGTGAGAGAGAGTGTGTGTGTGTGAGAGAGAAAGAGAGAATGAGAAAGAGAGAGAGAGAGAATGAGAGAGAGAAAGAATGAGAAAGAGAGAGAGAAAATGAGAAACAGAGAGAGAATGAGAATATGTGTGTGAGAGAGAGAGGGAGAGAGGGAGGGAGAGAGAGAGACCGGAAAATAAACATAAGGCTGTGCATCCCAATGTCCTCAGGCCATGCTTTATTTGTCAATTAAATCATCACAAAAATCAAACTTCGTGCTTTGATGAGGAGAAGGAGAAAAGCCGAAAGACAACGAGGGGCATCAACATTACAGAAGGCAAGAGAGCATCCGCCACAATTTAGCAAGACCAGGCAGGGATGGGAAGCGATTGGCAACCGACTGACCCAGCCCTTCGCCTTCAACCCCAGCCTTTGGCAAAGTAGGCATGGGCTTGCTTAGGTTGCAAAATGTGATGAGAAAGCCCCTTCCCCACCTCCCCGCCACCCCACCCCATCCCACCCACCCCCCATCCCCCCCCACCCCGTCTGCAGATCGAGACTCCTCTTGATGGGCAGGAGCCACACAGGCTAAATAGCTCCAGAAGCCAGAAAAGGCCGCGGAGGAATTGTTAGCAGGACGTGAAGGTTTTCCAAAAGAAGTTTTTACATGGAGTTTTGCGGTCTCGCGGGCTGAGGTGCGGCGACGGCCCCAGCATCAAGGGCTCTTCCTCCAGTTTCCTTTCTAGGGGATCTTCGAAATCGGCGAAAGCCGCTGCGTCACGATCCGCCTCGACTCCGTTGAGGAGCCCCGCGAGCATCTTCAGAACGAGACTTTTCTGAGATTTGGGTTGCTCCTTGTGGGCGTGAAGGAGGCAGGAGAGAGAAAAAAAAAAACAGAGAAGGCGCCGTGAGATATTTTTTCATCCTTGCAAAAGGTAAAAGGTAAAGTACATACGTGCTAGTCGTTCCCAACTCTAGGGGGCGGTGCTCATCTCCGTTTCAAAGCCGAAGAGCCAGCGCCGTCCGAAGACGTCTCCGTGGTCATGTGGCCGGCATGACTCAACGCCAAAGGCGCACGGAACGCTGTTCCCTTCCCACCAAAGGTGGTCCCTATTTTTCTACTTGCATTTTTTTTTACATGCTTTCGAACTGCTAGGTTGGCAGAAGCTGGGACAAGTCATGGGAGCTCACCCCGTTATACGCAGCACTAGGGATTCGAACCGCCGAACTGCCAACCTTTCGATCGAAAAGCTCAGCGTCTTAGCCTCTGAGCCACCGCGTCCCTCTTTCATCCTTGTAGGAAAGGGGTTTTCTTTTAAGTGGACAGGGGGAATTCACATAGGGATGATGATAATCGCATCCAAATTTAGGTTTTCAAGACAGACCCCCTTCCTATTGATACAGGTAAATCCTCGATTTAACAATCCCAATTGAGCCCCAAAATTTGATGGCTAAGCGAAACAGTTGTTAAGCGAGTTTTACCTCACTTTACGCCCTTCCTCCTCGCAGCAAATCGCTGTGGATGCTAAGTTAGTAACACAGTTGTGAAGTCAATCTGGCTTCCCCATTGCCCTTGCTCGTCGGAAGACGACCCCGTGATCCCGGGACGCAGCAGACGGTCATAAATATGAGTCAATTTTCAAGGGTTTAAATTTTGATCACAGATGCTACTAAGATCGTGACTCTGAAAAACAGACCTAAGTCACGTTTTTTCAGGGCCGTCGTAACTTCGAATGGCCACTAAATGAACTGTTGTAAGTCGAGGATTGCCTGTAATAAGGAGAGCACAGTAGAAATAACAGGTCCATGGCATTCGCAAGGGACTTCCTCTCCCCAAGGGAATCCTATTCGTTGTCTGAGCATAGCTTGAAAAGGATCTCCTGCTTGGGTGGGGTGGGGAGGGTCGGACTAGATGACCTCCAAGGTCCCTTCCGACTCTGTGAATCTGTTAAATACAGCTAAACACCGCTCGATTTGGTTTGAACCCGGTTAGGTGGAAATCCAGGAAATTCCAGGGCCATAGGCTAGAGCAGGGAGTCTCCAAACTTGGTAAGTTTAAGACTGGTGGACTTCAAGTCCCAGAATTCCCCCAACCAGCATGGGCGGCTGAGGAATTCTGGGAGTTGTAGTCCACCAGTCTTAAACTTACCAAGTTTGGAGATGCTTGGGCTAGAGAGACAGAAAAAAAACACTAGAAAACCTCCTTAAAGAAACCACCCTCATTTGCAAACCAGCCTCCTTCCGTTTCCAACGAAAAGTTTCCACCACCCGAGACGTCGCGGGCGTGACTTTGCGTTTCCTGGTGCAACGGGTCTATCTGAGATTTTATGCTCCTTTCCCCAGGATGGGACAACTCGCCGCAGGCAATTCGTCGCGCCCAACTCGCTGCGGGGACAATTCAAAAATTCGCCGTAATTCGTTTCATTTAATTAAAAAATATATATATATATTTTTTTTGGTCATTCGCGTTTCATTTTTTTTTGTCCCTCCTTCGGCATCCTTTCTGTTCCACTGTTTCTTGGATATTAATGTAACTCTTGCCCCGTGGCGAGTTGGCCCTCCCAAGCTTCGGAGGCCGGTGGGAATCAAAGAAGTGAATCTCCTCCCCGGGGGCCTCTCCTGGTTATCTTGGAGCACCTGGGCTCAAAGGACCATCACTCCTTTCATTCGGGTTGCCCTTGTGTCAATTCCAGGTCACTGGAGCGATCTCCTAGGGCAGGAGTCAGCAACCCGCTGCTCTGGAGCCGCATGTGGCTCTTTCACCCCTCTGCTGCGGCTCGCTGTCACTCAAAATATGCCTCACAACCAGGGGTGGGTTCTACTTACCTTTACTACCGGTTCGCAACTGGAAGCTTTTGCGTATGCGCAGTTCGTTCATGATGACGTTCGGGCGGGTGGGCGGAGCCTCCCGCCGCTTTTACTACCGGTTCGCAAGAACCGGACCGAACCAGGAGCAACCCACCACTGGTCACAACCGCCAATGTGTGACACCCGCCGGCACGTGATTTATTGAGCTTTTTGACCCATCTTCTTCTTTTTTGGGGGGGAGTTCAAAATGTTTGTGTCGCATGCAGAAATAAAAATTTGTTTTCTCTGTAGCAGTTTGTTGATTTCATAAATGCAACACATTCTAAGTTTTTTAATATATATATACATAGCCTAAAGGTAAAAAAAAACCGATATAGGCGGTGTTATCTTCCTTTTAGATGTCAAAAGGGTTTTTGTGGCTCCCGGAGTTTTCTTTTCTGTGGGAAACGGGTCCAAATGGCTCTTTTGAGTGTTTAAGGTTGCCGACTCCTGTCTTAGGGGCTCTCAAGATATCTTTTGAAAGGACATCCCTCCAATGCGTTTTAAGAGCCATCTGCAGTGATCGCTGCGACACGGTAAATGAGAATATTAAAAAAAACAGCTAATTCTTTTTTTTCCCCTCCGAACTATGCGCAACAAGTCCCTGCAGGAGGATTTCTCCCTACTTGCTCCTGACCCTTCCAGCTGGAAGAGCCTGAGTTTAAATTTTCTATGAGCTGATAGCGCAGTGGTGGTGAACCTATGGCACGGGGTGCCAGAGGTGGCATTCAGAGACCTCTCTATGGGGACGTGCGCCATCGCCCCAGCCCAGCTCCATTGTGTTTCTCCCTCGGGGGGGGGGAGAGCGACAGAGGAAAGAGGGAGAGAGGGAAAGAGAGAGAGAGGGAGGGAAAGTGAGAGAGAGAAAGAGAGAGGGAGGGAAAGAGGAAGAGGGGAGGGGAAGAGAGGGAGGGGAAGAGAAAAAGAAAGGGAGGGAGGGAGAGAGGGAAGGAGGGAAAGAGATGGAAAGAGGGAGGGAAAGAGAAGGAGAGGGAGAGGGAGGGAAAGGGAGAGGGAGGGGGAGGGAGGAGAAGAGAGAAAAGGGAAAGTGAGGGGAAGAGAGAGGGAGGGGGAAAGAAAGCGGAGGGAGGGAGTGGAAGAGAGAAAGTAAAGGAGGGAGGAAAGGGAGGGAGGGGAAGAGAGAAAAGGGGGAGAGGGAAGGAGGGAAAGGGATGGAAAGAGAGGGAGGGAAAGAAGGAGAGGGAGAGGGAGGGAAAGTGAGGGAGAGAGGGAGGGGGAGAGGGAGAAGAGAAAAGGGAAAGCGAGGGGAAGAGAGGGAGGGGGAGAGGGAGGGGAAGAGAAAGGGGGAAGACAAAGGGAGGGAGGAGAGAGGAAGGGGAAGAGGGAGGGAAAGAGAGAAAGGGGGAAGAGAGAGAGGGAGGGAAAGAGAAATGATATTGTTGCTAAACGTAATATTTCAAAAGCAGGGGAAAAAACGAAGGGGCATAAAAGTGCATTTATCACCTTTTTTTCCCCCTTAGAACAATTAGCTGAACTCTTGCCTTGTTTATCATTATTTTAGGTCGTTAAAACCTCAGTCTTCAGGTTAAATTGCCCCGTTGGCACTTTTTGCGATAGATAAGTGGGTTTCGGGTTGCAGTTTGGGGGGACTCGGTCTCTGAAAAGGTTCGCCACCGCTGTGCTAGCGTGTCGATAAAAAGTCCGTTCCTAACCCAAGCTCCCCAGCCATGTACGTCTCACAATTTGGATTTGGAACCCCACCGGTGATTCGAGAGAGGTTATTTAGAAAATAATCTGCCCCAGCTTGCAATTTGTCTTGGGGACAGCCTAATGAAGCAAGGATGCTGCAATTTTCTTTTCAGACTGTCTGCGTGTTATCTCCCCCCCCCTTTTTTTTCCTCCCTTCTGTGGCGAGAGGGCATATCAAGCTCCGGGAAACTGGCTTTTGAGGGAATTCATAAAAGCTGGCATTGTTATCCTTTAAAACTCTATTACCCTTCCTTCTTTTCGCAGTTCTCAATGGAAGATAAAACTAAAAGCTATAGGAAGTCTCTCTACTTTCTGATCCGTTACCTCCCCACCCTCTTATATGTCCTTGTTTGTCTCTTCATTAAAGGTAAAGGTTCCCCTCGCACATATGTGCTAGTCGTTCCCGACTCTAGGGGGCGGTGCTCATCTCCGTTTCAAAGCCGAAGAGCCAGCGCTGTCCGAAGACGTCTCCGTGGTCATGTGGCCGGCATGACTCAACGCCAAAGGCGCACGGAACGCTGTTCCCTTCCCACCAAAGGTGGTCCCTATTTTTCTACTTGCATTTTTTTTTTTTAATGTGTTTTCGAACTGCTCGGTTGGCAGAAGCTGGGACAAAGTCACGGGAGCTCACCCCGTTCCGCGGTGCTCGGGATTCGAACCGCTGAACTGCCGACCTTTCGATCGACAAGCTCAGTGTCTTAGCCCCTGAGCCACCCCGTCCCTTATGATTCTTTCATAGGGACCACCTAATGCACACCACTTATTATGAATATATCTATATATATTTTTCATGTCCCGATGTCCCAACAGCCAGGAGCATTGAGGATTTCATGATTCTTTTTAAAGCCTCCTCTTCTTCAGATATTTATTTTTATTTTATTTTATATTTTATTTCGAATTTATATACCGCACCTTCTCCCGAGGGACTCAGATAAAAACATACAATACAAACATTATTGAAGGAATGTCATTTCTCTCCCCCTCCGCTACCCACTCCAACTCACCCTGCTGGTCTGTGCAGAAAAGTTATCTTCTCCCGGGATGGCAGCTGCACATATAGTCCAGGTCAGCAGAAGCACTGCAACAAACCTGCCCATCGTCGGCATGACGGATAAATTTCGGGGAGCTTTTTGCGAGAGAGAAGCTGCGAGGCAGAGACTAGCTTCAGTCTCCTCTCCCTGGCTGCCGCATCTCCTTTTATAAAAACCTCCCTGAGCTGTGCCAGGTGACAGAAGCCGGGAAAAACTCTCTCCTAAGCCAATGAGATTTGAGACGCGTGTCAGCATCAGCTGTTTGAGGGATGAGAAGTAGGACCAACCCCAGGGGATGCTTGTGACATAACAGCTGAAACGGGAGGGGATCAGATAATTCCACTGGATGATGATGATGATGATTGAAATTAGACAGATTTTTTTCCCTTTCCCCCTCTGGAAAGTGAGAAAAAATCCCAGAGCTGTATAAAGAAACATGCGAGTCTCCTTCCATTCTTCTATTTTTATTTTATTGTTGTTGTTAGTTGCGAAGTCGTGTCCGACCCATCACGACCCCCATGGAACACATTCCTCCAGGGCTTCCTGTCCTCTACCATCCTCTGGAGTCCATTGAAGCTCACGCCGACTGCTTCGGTGACTCCATCCAGCCACCTCCTTCTCTGCTGTCCCCTTCTTCTTTTTGCCCTCAATTGTTCCCAGCATTAGGCTCTTCTCCTTCCTTCTCATTAGGTGGCCAAAGCATTTGAGTTTCCTCTTCAAGATCTTGGCCTTCTAAAGAGCAGTCAGGGTTGATCTCCTCTAGGACTGACCGGTTGGATGGCCTTGCAGTCCAAGGGACTCGCAGGAGTCTTTTCCAGCACCAGAGTTCAATGTTTATAGTTCTTCAGCACTATAGTTTATTTTATTATTTTTTATTTATTTTTATTTTATTTATTTAGTTTGTCAAACGTGTACAAGATAATAGGTATAAGCATAAACATGGACATGAACATAGGATATGAGTATGAATAAATGGGGGCAGTAGGACAGGGACGGTAGGCACTCTGGTGCACTTATGCATGCCCCCTGCCTCTTAGGAATGGGGTGAGGTCAACAGTAGACAGTCTAAGGTTAAAGTTATGGGGGTTTTGGAATGTAACCACAGAGTCAGGTAGTACATTCTAGGCATTGACCACTCTGTTGCTGAAGTCGTATTTTCTGCAATCGAGTTTGGAGCGGTTTGTATCTATTAAGTTTGTATCTATTGTGTGCTCGTGTATTATTGCGGTTGAAGCTGAAGTAGTCATTGACATGTAGGACATTGTAGCAGACAATTTTGTGTACTACGCTTAAGTCAAACCATGGGCGGCGTAGTTCCAGGTTGTCCAAGCTGAAAATTTCAAGCCTGGTGGCATAAGGGATTCTGTTGCGAGCAGAAGAGTGGAGGACTCTTCTCATGAAATACCTCTGGACTCGCTCAATTGTATTAATTTCCGATATATAGTGTGGCTTCCAGGCAGACGAGCTGTATTCGAGAATTGATCTGGCAAAGGAGTTGTATGCCTTAGTTAGCAGTACAATGTTACCGGAGAAGAAGCTTCGCAAAATTAGGTTTTTTTTATATGCTTTTTTTTTTCTTGACAAAAAGTTGAGTTTTGCAGATTTTCTCCCTACTCCAGGCTTAAATCCAGCAAATAGAAGAAGTGAAAGCAAATTTTTTAAAAAAATGCAGGGCATTGATAGCGTGTGTAATCCCGTGTGTTCCAAAACAACAAAACTTGCAAAACAAAGAGACTCTGATGTCTGAGGAAGACTTTTTTTCCTCCTCTGAAATGCAATTTCCTTTCTTGGTGGAGCTGAATTCTACCCGAGAAACCAGAATTTGTGGAATTGTCTGAACTTCCTTCCTCCTTGCATGACTAGTGAGAGGCTAGTTGTTGTGGCCCGCCAGCTGCCAACGGAGCTGGCAGCAGACTCGGACAGTGAGGAGGTTGGGGAAGAAATTGGGCCAGTTCTGGAGTCTGGGGAAGGCTCTGATGGATGCTCTGCGTCGGACGCAGAGATAGAGCCAGGGCCGTCCAGCATTTCCCAGCCACCGGAGAGGAAGTTGCCTTTGGATGCTGACATGAGTGAGGAGGAAGAACAGCTGGGGCCCGTTCCAGATGCACGTATGCGCAGAGCAGTTAGGAGAGGAGAACAACGGAGGACAAGGAGTCGACTCAGGAAGCAAAGCAAACGTGGACACTGAATGGCCCCTCCCTGGCTGGGGAATAAATAGAAGGAAAGGGGAGTGGTGGTCGTAGGAGACAACCGTTCGTATTTCTGTTGATTTTGCTCATTGTGTTTCGTGCCACAAAGACTGCTTGCCAGAACTTAATTTGAAGCCTTTCGGCTGGGAACTCACGACCTGGAAATTATTGCAACGAACTGATAAGGTCTGTTACTGCCATTAACTCCTTGCAGGACTCATTCATATGAGGTAAAAGGGGTTTTTCTTTTCGAGAAATCTTCTTGTTTCTTGTTTCCCCTAAGGCTGGGTCAGAACACTAGTCTTATCAAAGAATGAATGGCTGATGGGGAACTGTGTAAAATCTGATCAGAATGATAAAATATAAAACATCATCCTGGCTTTCAAAACAGCATCCATTTAGCATCCATTCTTCTTTTCTTCCAGGGTTGAAATCTAACAGGTTCTGGAGAACCGGTAGCAGAAATTTTGAGTAGCTCGGAGAACCGGCAAATACTACCTGGAGTTGGGAGGGAATGGAGATTTTGCAGTATCCTTCCCCTGGAGTGGGGAGGGTATGGAGATTTTGCAGTATCCTTCCCCTGGAGTGGGGAGAGAATGGAGATTTTGCAGTAGCCTTCCTCTGGAGTGGGGAGGGAATGGAGATTTTACAGTATTCTTCCCCTGGAGTAGGGAGGGAATGGAGATTTTACAGTATCCTTCCCCTGAGTGGGGTGGGAATGGAGATTTTGCAATATCGTTCCCCCAGGAGTGGAGTGGGAATGGAGATTTTGCAGTATCCTTCTTCCTAGAGTGGGGTGGGAGTGGAGATTTCGCAGTATCCTTTCCCCTCGAGTGGGGTGGGAATGGAGATTTTGCAATACCCTTCCCCTGCCACGCCCACCAAGCCCCGCCCACAGAACCGGGAGGGGGGAAAAATTGAATTTCACTCCTCTTTTTCGTCTCTTCTTCATTTACCGCCCCCGGTAAATATGCTAAAGTTTTTAGTTGATTAATCTACCGCTGACATATGTCAACTTTATACATCTGCCTTGTTCGGTGAACAAACTTACTATCGTGGTTTCCTGCTGGACTTCTCTTTGGGTTGGTGAGATTTTTAGAACAACATTTTCCTTTGCCCATAAAAACTCTGTTGTTAACCTTGTCCAGAATACAACATACATTGCAAAGCTAAGCCCAGAGCTGTAATGTTCTTTGAAAGAACATATCCATGAAAATTGAATTGGTCCATAAATGGCAGTTTTAAAGAACCCTAGTCTTTTGAATTGCAGGATAAAAATTAAAAATAGACAATAACCAAAAGTCCACGGAGGCAAAATTATGTAAGATACCTCTATAGAAGATAGAAGTGAAAAGCGCACGCATACACCTTAGTGGTGGGATTCAAACTTTTTTTACTACTGATTCTGTGGGCGTGACATGGCTTGGTGGGCATGGCAGGGGAGGATACTGTAAAATCTCCATTCCCTCCCTACTCCAGGGGGAGGATACTGGAAAATCCCCATTCCCACCCCACTCCAGGGGAAGGATACTGGAAAATCCCCATTCCCACCCCAGTCCAGGGGAAGGATACTGTAAAATCTCCATTCCTTCCCCACTCCAGGGGAAGAATACTGTAAAATCTCCATTCCCTCCCCACTCCAGAGGAAGGATACTGTAAAATCTCCATTCTGTCCCCACTCCAGGGGAAAGATACTGTAAAATCTCCATTCCAACACCACTCCAGGAGAAGGTTATTACAAAATCCCCATTTCCTCCCAATCAGCTGGGACTTGGGAGGCAGAGAATAGATGGGGGTGGGGCCAGTCAGAGGTGGTATTTACCGGTTCTCCAAACTACTCAAAATTTCCGCTACCTGTTCTCCAGAACTGGTCAGAACCTCCTGAATACCCAGGATGATACACCCTTCCTGATACGCTGCTATAGATATTGCAGGTACTTCTCAACTTACGAACTCAGTTGAGCTCCCGAACAAAGAGAACCGGTTCAGTGATGTCATATCGTCACCGCTACCAGCTCGGCTGAACCGGGAGGAACCCACCACTGCTTGACTCCCTCTTCTTTGAGGCAGCCCCTGAGATATGGGAAGACTGCGATCATGTCTCCCCTAGGCCTTCTTTTCATCAAACTAGACATACCCAGTTCCACCAACCGTTCTTTATATGTTTTAGCCTCCAGTCCCTTAATCATTTTTGCTGCTCTTCTCTGCACTCTTTCTAGAGTTTCAACTCTGTTAATCACACGTTGTTAACTCAACTCTGTTAGTAGCATATTGTTAAGTGAATCTGTTTTCCCCATCGACTATGCTTGTCAAAAGGCCGCAAAAGGTAATTATTACATGATCCAGGACACTGCAACCATCACAAATATGAATCAGTTGCCAAGTATCTGAATTTTGATCACATGACCATGGGGAGGCTGGATGGGGCATCTTGGTAGGCCAGGTTTAGAGGTTCTCCATCAGTTGAGTAGCCCACTGTAAGGGAGATGAGCTACAGATCTTTTTTTTTAAAAAAAAAACTTTACCTTCTCTCTTTAAATAAAAGCAATCCTCAGCCCATTCAAATCTCTGTTGTGGTCCGCCAGCAGCCTGCGGAGCTGGCAGCGGAGTCGGACAGGAGACTGAGAAAGAACGGGCCAGTCCTGGAGGCTGGGGAAGGCCCGGATGAGGGCTCTGCGTCGGAGGCAGAGATGGAGCCAGGGCCATCTGGGAGTTAGGCACAAACTCCGGAGCCTCCAGAGGCTGACAACAGAGAGGCAGAGGAACAGGAGGAGCCTGTTCCTAGTGCACGCATGAGAAGAGCTGCCAGAAGGCAAGAGCAGCTAAAGCAAAAAGGACGACTCAGGAGTAAGGCCAAGAGATGATTGGCCTCTCCCATAAGGCTTAAAAGACCAGCAACGGCTCTTGGGTTCTTTGTGGGAAAACAACGTTGATAGTTTTGTTTCTTGTCTTGCTGCATTTATTTCTTGTCGGCATCTTCTGCTTCTGAACTTTTGCCAAGAAA